ATGCATACATACAAACGCTTGCAATCAAACCAGTTAATTCAAACAAGCGTACACAATAGGAGATAAGAAAGAACGAAAAATATTAAGCAACCACACCCTCACTCCTCAAAAAGCGTGAATATGTTTTATGAGATGGACGTTGGTGAGTGACTGCTGTAGATAGTGGAGAAAGTATATGGACACTCACCAACAGTTTCCGGATATGGAGAAGTGTTCCTTGTCATGAATTTAATGACAGCTTAGTTATTTCAATTTGCTCTTGTCCTACTCCGACAACCTGGCTACGATCGTATACTTGTTCACGTTTTTTCTCAGCCCCAGCGGAAATTCTAGAATCTAGGCGATCCCGTTTGTTAGCCTTCAGCGTCTGAAACCCACAGGCAGTAGACGCTAACGGGAAGATAAGGAAAACTGTCCGTCACCAGTGGCTGATCGTATGTGAGATAACCACTGGTGCTGCCATAGGAGTGATTTACTTTGTAGATGGTGAACAGATTTTAAATATTCAATGTGAGATCCACTTGCGCTAAAAAGTCGAGAAAAAATGCGCAGTTGTTTCGTTGTTGTTGGGACGCATCAATTATGCGCGCCTTCCAAATCTTCAAGGAAAGTAGAACCCACAAATTTCCGATCTCCCGATGAACGCTACACTACTCACCTGTGACTGGCCAGTCAGCACTGAATGACTTGATCGTCAGCACTTCAACAATCAGCTTGGGCAACGTCGTTCAATTCCGCACCGCACGTCAGGCAAACCGGTTTGACTGACCTCTAGGGTGACGATTTCTCAGATGGAAAAACCATTGAGGCTTGGTAGAGACTCATCTCCTGGCTAGGGTAGCAAGCAGCTCTTGTTATCTGATATGGATTTTGCTTAGCAAGCCCGAACTCGAAAACAATCGTGCTTTCGTTTCATTTTTGTTGGAACGCAACATTGTGACCTCCCACTCTTAATCGAGGGGAGACCAACAGCTGGTCACCTTTCATATCATTAGTTTGAGCATCCACTCACCCTCATTCGAGTAAATTCACGTCGCTGGGTGAAAACTTGGATGCCTACATCACTTCATATTTTTTCTCTTTGTCACACTACACAGGTTTAGTAAGTAGTAAAGAGACTCTGGAGACTTTGCTTTGGGTTCTATTCTGCACAACAGAGTTAGTCTAGACTGAAAGGCCAGAAAGATTGTGGAATAGATTTATTTTTTAAACTAGGGAGGGTAGGCAATCAAGTATCTTTAATCTTGCAGGTGTACCCAACACATTTACGATAAGTAGTCTAATGTTGACTCAATCATTTCGGCTCTCTGAGGCCCCAAGAAGCAACGAAAATCGGATTGATGAACGTTTATTTTAACGTTCACCCACTGCATGAGATGCGAAACCAAACCCTAAAAAATTTCGGTTCATCACGCTTTTTCGCGAAATTTATACAACTAAGCACCCAAATACATTCTGTGGCCGTCCTCGTTAGATTCTCAAACAAGCTTTGTTTACTTCGCAAGCATCCATGCTCGTAGGGCATCGACAAACCCTATTGTGTCCGTCGACGTGTGTACGACCGATACGAGATAACCATTTATAAGTTAGGACACTACATCCGTTCCATTATTCATAGAGTTCTCACACGAATCATACTGCAGTTTATAGTAGGACCGTGAGATTGGTTCTTTTTTATTGCGCCGCCAGCTATCATTCCGATAACTTCAGTAAAATACCTAGTTGATACTGCCAGACGCCAATCATCCTTTGTGAGTTGCTGACCACTTGTCATCAGGATGTTGATATTTCGCGCAGGATTCGGGCCGACTCGACCACTTCTGACTGTTCAGTGAAATTTATCACACACAAACCTATGGTATGGTCTCCAGGCCCCAAAATGGTCCCATGCGAATAGCCTGTGTGCAAGAGTGAATAGTCAGGTACACCTTTCACATCGGTGGCCGTACAGACGTTCATTTATTACGTTCGTTGTCACAGAGCTGATGGTTCGTAAAGCTTTGCGAAATCAATTAAATGCCAGTGTGTCAACTTTCGATTATGAGCGTGAGTCCCTCCGTCGTAAAGGACTTTCGCAGGTAGTGCATTTCATATTGTATTCTGAGTTCCCCACATCTTTACACCTTTCAGCCTCAGGATTCTTGTGAACACGTTCATCTCACTGGTATTTCACTCACGGAAAACCGAAGTCAAGAAATGACTATCCATCTATTAAGTGGTGAAATATAGATGCGTTTTGAAAGTCTTTTCGTGCGATTGCTGTGTAGACTACGGTGTTGTGTGATTTTCGGTAGCAGATATAGGTCAGTCCATGTACTGCACGTAGGTTTGTGTGTTCCACACACTTGATGGCCTTACGGATTTTGGTAGTTCCTACTTCTGATTCACATACCACCGTGTTTAAATAATCATTCTTGTGATCTCAGTGTACAATCCTGCCATCTTGTGAAAGTTTAACGATACAATGAAGACGCTTTCTACTCATATTAACAACACCAATAACGATTTCTATAACTCCACCGAATTTGAACATTCCTCCACCTCAGGTGGGTTTCCGTGGTGGTGGAAGCCCAGTGAATTTAGGGTACAATATTTAACAACCGGCTTGATTCAAAAGACTAATCAGGTAAATTCATTTGCCATGTGTAAACTGGCAAAAACCAGCCCCCGGGTTAACTGACTTCTCTTCGAATAAGCTGTGTTTCGTTCACCAAAGTGAAGCTGAAACCGGACTCACAGATGAAGTGCACCGTACTATATCTACGGGGTTAGTTCTAACTCACCAGCTTATCCGAACACAACAGATCTCAGTTCGACTAGAGCTGGTACGGTGCTATAAAAAATTGCCTGAAATTAAACAGGATGTTTTGAAACAAAACTGGTATTCAACACGTGAAGACGTTTGCAATTTTCTGTGAAAGCATTAAGCAGTATCAAATCGTTCGCAGTTTGAACATATTCAAATGAAAGCAGACGATGACTGAAGCAGCAACTGTTCCGCTGCACAAAATCCACTATTCATTTCACGATGACCGGTTACATTATTGATTTCAGATTCATCAAACCTTCAATTAGCCGAGAATTCAGAAAGAGTAATATTTCAGCCCCTTTAAGAACCTTTCGAACCTTTTGGTCGTAGAACTTTACAGTTATAAAAAGCAACGACTGATCGTTTTTACATCGAATGCATACAACTGTTCTGTTGACAAGGGCGATTATTTTAAGAGAGGCTTTTCCACGTACTCATTTGCAACCTCTTCTAGTCCGCCGATGTGATAAGTTCCATGTAAGGGAGCCAGTAGTAGAGTTATTTGAAGCACGTATTTTCCGGTTCATTATTTTAAAATGGGTTATTTTATAGATGGCAGCATTGAACCCCGAAATATGGGTGACAACTTTTTTTGGGTCATAGAAATATGGGGACAACTTTTTTGGGTCATAGTAAACTCTCTGAGTATCCGTGTCCACTACCTCTTTCATCCGTGCTTCTGACTGTCAGTGGCAAGCTAGAACTAATTGATATTAGTTTTGCTAAAAACTGCCTCCGTTAATCCGGTCTGTCCTTATTCCTGCTCGAACGATGTTTTCTGTTACTGTCACATTGTTACCAAATCACATAACGACTGGTACTGAACCAGTAGACCTATGAATGACATGATATTTTCTGTAATTGAACCGCTGATACGGTAACCACCCATAAAAGCTGGCCACGTCGTCACGCGGATATACTACATTTAGGGTCGTTGAAAGGTGAAACAATAGGCTAGTGATCAACGTTCATGAACAAATCAGCACTACCGAATAGGTGTGTATGACCGCCGTGTGTGTGTGGGTAGGGGGCAAAAATTGCAACTTAACTTTTATCGTTCAACCGAAAAGTGAATATTATATTCCGGGCGAACAGTCGTTGACTTTTTCAGTAGTCACGCACAATTTTGATGATGGATAAAGTTCCAACGTAGTTTAGTGTTTGGTCAAAACTCTTGGTAAGCTAATTGTCAGTATATTGTGTGTTATACAGCTGGATGTTATCCTTGTTCATAATGCCGGCCACTGTTTCAAACGGCGCCAAAGTACGTGTTAGGCATTCAGATTTCTGGTTGTCTAGTCATCATTTTCAGCTTCTGGCCAATGAAAAAGTGCTCTGATCCCATTATGGCCCGTACACAATAGGCTGTTCTGGGTACTACATACAGACGCCTTTTATTTCAAGTAATAATGTCAAAAAACCCCAGGAATTTAACTCACACTTGACTTTACTGTTTATTTAAGTAAAATGAAACTGCATGCTCTCAAATCCTGACCTTTAGAGGTGTAGGCTCTCAAAACCTAAGACTTTCTAAATTTTAACTTCCACCCACTTGGAATTATTCTGTAAAAGCCCGACGTACGTTTCCATAAATCGAGTGTTGAATAACCTGTTTGCCTGCTGAGGCGACAGTTGAAAATTAAAAAGCTAGAAAATAGAAGTTTGGCTAATCTAAGATTGAGAACTGATCTCAGAGGATAAGCAAGATACTTTCGTTCGGGGCACATATAAAAGGCCTTTTTTCAGATAAGCGGACTCTACTGGCTATTGGGGGAGAGGGTAAAATAACCCCAAAGTAATAGTCTTTAGATGTCGACCAGCCGCATTCGTAAAATTGAAGTAAACCGCTTGTTTTTTTTGACGCTTCTTTGGGTTGCATGGTAGGTAAGACCGTTGACTCTACGTTATCTGTCTAATCAAAAGGGGATTATCTGAAGTAGTGCATCGTGTCCTGATAGCCAATTACAATGAGTATGGTAGCCTAAAGGTGTACTACATAATCCTCTTGATTGTTCTTTATGGCCTGAATTATCTTGTACCAGAACCTGTGTTAACATATAACTTCCTCAGGAGCAAAACAGAAACACCATCTCGAGAAGCTCACTTACATATTATTCTATATCTCTCTGCCGAGAAAAAAATGTACAAAGTATTCTATCTTTCATTTTATATCTGACTCCTCAATACGTAGATTGTCCACCTACTGGAGCAACTTCTTCAGATATATCCTTACCACCCTGGCTCTATAATATGAGTTCCGCGGTAAAGAGCAGAGCAGCTCACTTTTCTGGCCCAACAACAACTTCAACATCAGCAACAGTGCATGCAGGCAGTAAACCTACAGACTACAGTCAATACACCGCAGCCCGAACGGATCAATTATTTCCACTTCCCCCAGTTCCGCATTTTCCATTCTCCGACACTATTGATTCGTTTCCGACAGTAAATGCGTCCATGCAACAGCAAATGTCAAACTCCAGTGGTTCTGGCGGCAAGCTGGATCAACCAATGTCAAATGGCTCATCTCAAGACGGTGCAAGCACTCATCTTGCTCAGAGTGGTGGTCGTATACACAGCATCAGCTCACTGGCCCTATCAGGTCTGTCGCAGTCACTGAAGTCTGATTCACTTGGTGGAGATTCGACGAACGATAATGAAGCGGTCAGTACGGTTCGACTGCGCCCCTCCACGAAAGGTACAATAGGGATGTTGAGTAAAGCAATCATAGAATCTGTACCCACTCGTGGCGAAGGTCAAACCAACACAATGAATGGTATCGTGCACAACACGTTGCGCAAGACGAGGTCAGATATGAAAGTTATTCACCGCTATTTGGTCCAAGTGAAGCACGATACACGGGACATTCATCAGATTCCGTATTACGAGCTTGACCAGTACATTCAAGTGAGTGTGTTCAATTAATATGGCACTGTATTCTCATTTAGTTCAAATTGATTGTAAGATTATACCTTAGCAACAAGAATGCCCTGGAAAATAAAAGATAACTTACGCAAGTGGCAGAAAATTTCCTCACTTCAACTGCATTTCGGTAACAAACTGCGAACACGTTTCCCTTTCCTGGCAGCTGGCAGTTTGAGCACATGCAGCGTGTGGAACTATTACTACTCTCTATACAGTTTCAAGTCTAGGTCTTGCTAGTGTAATCCATTAGCTACTCTGGCAGGAATCTGCTCACGTTCCACCCGGCGGCTGTCTCAGCTCCAGCTCAGGCATCCTAATTTGAGCCTTTTTATTTCAGCTCCAATAAAGCGCACTTTATTGTTTGAAGCCTCTTGAAACATCGACAGATTCATGGGCAGTAACGGAGCATTTTAAGCTTAGAGAAATGATAAATCTCTATATAGCTTGCTCGGTGCTGTAACAAACATACTGCACTACACTTTTGCTGTATTTTTCATCAGCAAGGTGTCCAAAACAACAACCAATTCCACAGACAGCACCACAGGAAGGTGTGATTGGTCCGAAAAGCCTAATTATGTCCTCTCTTACTGAGAAAATATAGTAAACCACCCAGATGGCCTAGGTGGCGTGCCCAGTTGAACTTCCAGTTTTTAATATTCTTCTAACCAGTAGGCTGCAAAAGAGTCGCCTCATGTTTTAGCTGAATGTATTTTTACCTGGTAAGCTGCAGCTCATTAGGATGATGAGATTGTTCAAAATTACACCGCGGGTATCAACGCTCTTGGGGCTCCTCAGCTAGACGCAGTCGCCGAGTTTCCTTGCTCTGCAATGATACAGTGATTTCGAGTTTGACACTCACTGATTAAATATAAATAAACTAGAGAATTGTTGAAACATATAATGTGATTGCGATTCCACTGAGGTCATCTTTACTAGCAAGTGACTGTTTAACCCCAACTACATCAATTTAGCCTTCAACGGCAAAATGAGGTTCCTGAAAACTCAGCGGCTACAACGAACTCATGAGTTTTGAAAAAGGTGAAGCCGAAACTGGGCAGTTTTGATTGTTCATCAGCTTTATAAGGAACGCCGTATTGATCATGGCCGACTCAGACAGTACGGCCGGACAGACTGGGAGTGCCCAGTAGTCTTGGACTCGTACGATAGATAGACTGGTTCAATTTCCAGCGGCTTTTCGGTTCCGAACGTCGGCGCTGTATTGAGAACAAGTTGTCTTTCATCTCAAAAGCGCTATACATACGCGCCTGATGCCCCATAGTTGGCCACTGGATCTTACGTGATCACATTCATTCACTTTCAGGATTTTGTACTGACCGCAAAGAAGAAGGACGGACATGAATATGAACCGGAATCACTGAAGGCTTTCGTGCATTCTTTAGAACGACACTTGAAAGTGAGTTCTCTTGATATTCCTCACATTCAGTTGACGACAAACTTGTGCTAGTGTCACAACTGAGCGACTTGTTGAAAGTAATCCACCAGTTCTGAATACTGAGTTGAGATGGTCTGGCGGGACACTTCCGACAATGTGCTTATCATGCCTTCTAGCCAACGTGCCTGGAATACATGCGAGCGCACGTTCCTGTTTGACAGCTAATTTTATTACCGGATCACAATTGATAATCGCAGAAAAACCGATAAGGATGTGTGCAGTTGAATAAATTGTCCACTAAAATTGGAATAAAATGGATTGGTATGTAGAACATAGACGTTTCAAGTATGGAGCATTTTGGGATTGTGTCTACAAATTGGACATTGTTCAAAATGCCGTTCCCCTCTGAGCATAGGTTAGATGCCAGAGTTCGAAACAAGGTTTCGTGGTTTTGAATTGCCATGCTTGCCTGCTATTGCTGTGTCTGCTAAAAGAACCAATACTGGCTTACACTGGACAAGGCCAATAATAGATGGCTAAACGTCATATTGTTTGGGTTCCCCGAAACTTGGACATAGATATTCGCCTTGCGGTGTATTGTAGAACTGATAAAGGCTCCACTTCTAGTCAGGTGCAGCGTGCATTTAATACAAAAAGAGTACATGCTGTATTGAGCGTGCTTTTTCACCCAGAAGTAGAACGCTTTGAATATTACTGCTCATTTAGCAACCATAATAACATCAACAGCACTTCTGGATAACCCCACGGGCGCATAAAATATATGGTTGAATTTCTCGGGACATAGGTGTGGCATAATGTGTGCATTGCGGGCTTTTCAATGAACGTTCCTCGTTGAGAATTAGGCGGCACCTTTTCTGTAAGTTTGAAATGACTGAGCATCTAATAAAACATAACATGAGCTTGCCGTGAATTTTTCCGCTCGACCTTCGTGTATCCGTACTTGATTTCAGAAACTGTGTATCATCCGAGCTTTCGAATTTGTTTGCATTCGCATAGTTTAGTTACCACACGCATTTCTTTATTTGTTGTACAACATGTGGCTGAGGACAGAGAATGAACTCGTGTGTGCGGCCCTTGCTGCATGTTTGTTTGCTTGCAAACAAGGGCGCGAAGGATACAGTAATCTGCCGGGCACGTGCTTCGAGCAATATATCAAAGAATGGATTGTGCAAAGTGCATGGATGGAATAGTCATCACATGTCAAAGAGTATAGGTTTCACGTCCTTGGTTGAAGCATCAGGAAGAACTGTTGAATAGATAGGTAGATAGATGGAGTCATGTGTTTATTGGTGGTGAAGAAGATCTGACTATTGTACTCTGGCTGTCCTTGGTAAACAATAGGATCTATGCGTAGAACCAGCTCACTTGCAAAAGTGCACATTCGTTTATGCACTTCAAAGTAAAATCGAATTGTGTACAACACTCTGGCCTAGGTGTTTACCAGTTTGGTGTTCCTCTGTGCTACGTGGACGACCCGTCAAACATTTGCGTGGGTCTATTTTACCAATTCGATTGTTTGCTTTCAGGCATTCTAACGGTTTGTGCAAAAGCGGACGTGTTAACTTGAGCGGAGGAGTCACTCGAGTGCTACCTGATCAGCCGCTTCCCATTGTCATTTACGTAACGCTGTCATTCTCGAAAAAAAAATCAAGACATATGAACTATAATAACTGTACGAAGCTACACACTAGAAAATGCTAGTAGGATTGAGGAAATCATATAGGTTGGTGGCTACAACCGACGTGCTAATAACAACAGCTCCTGAACAAACAATAGTTCAACACTGTCCCGAAGCAGGTTATTCTTCTGAAATTACAAAAATATCAAACTGTGTCCAAGCAGTCATTCGCATCCGGTGCACGCGGAAGCGGAAGTGTGTAAGAATTAAAAAAAAGTGGACTTGCTAATTACCACACCTCTACTGCCCGACAAACCAATGCGTCCAATTAAAGTGTGAGATGAAAGTCGCTGAGATTTGCAACTTAATTGTATGCAGAACGGCGGAGGTGGGTGAGGAAAGAGCGCAACGGAACAGCGGAAATGTTTACAAACCTGCCGCAATTCCTTAGCCCTGGACAAACACACGCTATTCACTCTTTGAATATAACCTCGGTAAACGTGTTTTTCTCAATAAGTGGGGTATGATAGAACTTGAATTTGGATTTATGAAATTTTATCGACTCTTCAGATTGAAGAGTTGATGAACTTCGCAAAAAAGTGTGGTTGCTTCACGGTCGAATTGTTTTACGCAACAGCTGTGCGTATTTTTGTGGTTGTGCATCACCAAAATGCACACAAGCACACGTCATACACAGCCCGAAAGTTCGTACTGACCAATTAAGACATTTTCTAACTGGTGTAATATCATCTACGGCTTGGTCGGGAATAGTGTCGCTATGTTAAGCGTACTGAAGGTGATTCACAAAACTGTCCACGTATCAAACCATATATGTGGGTAAATGTGATATCCTGTCTATTGAGATGCTCACCACCTGTGGCAGACCACGTTTCCTGAACAATACTCCCATGCCTTTTTGTTCCTGTCCTTCCTACACAGACCCACATAGGTCGGGTGTTATTACGTGAACTTGGCTTTCACTCGTACAACTTGTTCACCCACAATTAGGCATATATTATGTCTGCACTCTACACACAAATGTATCAAGATGGTGACAATGTTCTTCTGCTACATCTCTCTAATGGTCTTGACCAGTGTTTTTATGCCCTGGCATTTACACTAGTTATATACTTACTTTCGGGACAGTCGTCAACAATGTGAACAACAGGTGGACAGATTGAATTGGTCAACGTTAGGTCACATGGATAGATCTGCAATACACCATATACCTCATAATAGTAGCCACTTGGATGGAAGTAATATTTTGAAAAAAAGAAATTACAAAAATATCAAACTGTGTCCAAGCAGTCATTCGCATCCGGTGCACGCGGAAGCGGAAGTGTGTAAGAATTAAAAAAAAGTGGACTTGCTAATTACCACACCTCTACTGCCCGACAAACCAATGCGTCCAATTAAAGTGTGAGATGAAAGTCGCTGAGATTTGCAACTTAATTGTATGCAGAACGGCGGAGGTGGGTGAGGAAAGAGCGCAACGGAACAGCGGAAATGTTTACAAACCTGCCGCAATTCCTTAGCCCTGGACAAACACACGCTATTCACTCTTTGAATATAACCTCGGTAAACGTGTTTTTCTCAATAAGTGGGGTATGATAGAACTTGAATTTGGATTTATGAAATTTTATCGACTCTTCAGATTGAAGAGTTGATGAACTTCGCAAAAAAGTGTGGTTGCTTCACGGTCGAATTGTTTTACGCAACAGCTGTGCGTATTTTTGTGGTTGTGCATCACCAAAATGCACACAAGCACACGTCATACACAGCCCGAAAGTTCGTACTGACCAATTAAGACATTTTCTAACTGGTGTAATATCATCTACGGCTTGGTCGGGAATAGTGTCGCTATGTTAAGCGTACTGAAGGTGATTCACAAAACTGTCCACGTATCAAACCATATATGTGGGTAAATGTGATATCCTGTCTATTGAGATGCTCACCACCTGTGGCAGACCACGTTTCCTGAACAATACTCCCATGCCTTTTTGTTCCTGTCCTTCCTACACAGACCCACATAGGTCGGGTGTTATTACGTGAACTTGGCTTTCACTCGTACAACTTGTTCACCCACAATTAGGCATATATTATGTCTGCACTCTACACACAAATGTATCAAGATGGTGACAATGTTCTTCTGCTACATCTCTCTAATGGTCTTGACCAGTGTTTTTATGCCCTGGCATTTACACTAGTTATATACTTACTTTCGGGACAGTCGTCAACAATGTGAACAACAGGTGGACAGATTGAATTGGTCAACGTTAGGTCACATGGATAGATCTGCAATACACCATATACCTCATAATAGTAGCCACTTGGATGGAAGTAATATTTTGAAAAAAACCCTATGAAGTTAGATTCAACAACTGCATCCTACAATATAATCCCAGAGTAACCCTAATAGACTCCGAGTTACCTACTGGCATGGTCCGTGAAAAAGGGCACCTCCCAACAAAAATGAGAACATTATTTACGGTTGAAATGTTGTTAAAGGCATACGGCAAAAAACAAACAAACAAATAGAATACAGTTTTAACGTAGGTATAAGGTCCAGCATCATAAATGAATTCTCGATACGTGAATAGAATGAGTTTAAGATTTGTCTAACGGCTGTCGGTCCCCTCGAAAACAAACAGCCTGAAAGCGATTTCGTCATCTAGAGCCATAACATTTTTCAGTGACTATTCAAAACGTTTTTTCAATCTTTCTGGAACTCAGTGTTGTTATCCCTTCTGAGTGTCCGTCTTGTTTGTACAAATCACTTTTAGATAGAATATTCGGGCTTGGTTAGCAAGTTGTTCGCATGAATTCTGGAAAAATCTCAGACAAGCTTCTTAGTCATCGATAGTAGCAGCAGAAGTCCCATTTGATTAACCACGCAACAACTGGAAAAACTAGACCCTTCCGGGTTGAGTAACATTCAAGAACAAAATTTGCGACTGCACATTTTCTAACTCCAGCCTATTCATTTCTGACGTCGCTATGGTTGGCCAGTTAACAAGTCTTACTGACGCATACTGTCCAATATTTCTAAAATCCCTACAATAGAACAATGTCCCAAGAATACTTTCCCCTTTTTATTCCGCCAAACAATTGCCAGTTTGCTCCTGGGAGAGTGAAGTGACAGTTTCCAAATAATATTACCAAGGTGAAAAGGACCAGTACGTCTTTCTTTCAGAGGGCAGACTCAGTTTTACTTTTCCGTACCTGCTATACCAAACGGGACAACTAAAAAGGCCGTCAGCGAACAATTCATCTCTCATGGCGCTATGCACTAGTTTTGTAGTCACACCTACCGGTGGTGTGTTCAGCCGTGGAACTCATTAGTAGGCTCCAGTGACGCACGCCAAAATAACCAATGAGACAGAATCGGACGTTTGAAAATCCCGTTTCAGCGAAGTTGAACAGAAAAAGATTGACATACGAAGTTTTGTCACTTCTTGATTCCCACAAGGCGGTGGTCCCTTTAGGGAGCGAAGAGCACACTGAACGAAAATATCCAGTCCTTGATGATATTATTCAACTTACTAGTCAAATGGTAATGCACGTGGGACCTGGATTCATGTAGGTGGAGATCCACAGGCGGGAGTTTTTTATCGAGGAACCACAGTTAACCTTAAAACCGACGAAAAATGAAAGTTACCTATTTTACAGAGAGCTATCGGTAGATAAACGTTACAGGTTGGGTTGCATGTGTACAGGCCTGGTTGTTGCGCAGTGTACCACGAATAAAGTTGTGCACTGCAGAAGGGAGAGCAAGTGTTTTTGTTTTATAAACTCTCAGTTCACCAGCTTTGAAACTAAGGGGCTGTGAAGCCTGAACAGGCCACAAATTTGCATTTCTACTGAACTTCACTAAGGCTTTTAAGTCTTTTTCGAATAAGTAGTGGTTCAGCTACGTGGAAACGCTTATCCGTTTGATGCTATAGCCAATCCACCTAATCAACTACCTTTTGTACTAGGAGAACGTCAGACATGTTTTGAAACAGTCAGATGATGTGTGCTTCAGTAAAGGCAAGTGTCTCCTTTGTTCATATTTAACTTTCATGTGTATAGTTCACAAAAACAAGCACAAAAATGTAGTTCTAAATGTGGAAGCTTACAAAAGTATCCAGTAAAATAAGCTGAACAGAGGTCTACCCAATTCTAAAAACTGTCCGAATAGAAAATCCGTCTTGGAAAGGGCAGCGAACCGGTCTGCAGATGTGGACCGAGGATATCAATATCATATTTTATCGGTATCCTGAATGCAGTAAGATAATTGGACTGGTTTCAGTACCACTGATAAATTTGGTTGACGCTCTGTTACAACCTCATATCGGTTTTATTCTTCTTGGAGCCTAGTCCCTGAATCTCCAACAAACGCGGTACCTACTTGAACGTCACATTTTTGCCACAAAAGTCATGTGCAGGTTATTCTGGTCTTGACGTGAGACTAGGCTGAAATCCAACTCAGAGGAATATGTCGGTTAGTAAGAGGTACGGAATTTGCAATTGTAGGGGGAGGGGGGCATAACAAAGCCTGTCGTCGGGGTTATCCAGGGTTGAAATTTCAATAATCAAATTGAAAAACGTCGCCCTTATTTATATGAAGCTTATCACCAACCGCTTTCTTCTTCAGCACCACGGCTATCCTCATTCAGTACTCAAAGGTACGGCATTCACAGGGACGCGGACTGTACTCAACCAACGACTGAATGAGCTACGTGCACTCAGTCGATCGAGTGGGGGGTCTACAATTGGAAGTTACCCATCCACTGTAGGTGTCGGTGGTGTTAGCGTTGCTGGAAAACGACCATTGGACGCCACAGTAGAAATACTGGCTGGGACGCAGCCAAGTTTGGCAAAAAGGATATCCAGTGGCAAATCATTTACCCCAGTTGGTCTCATACAAGCTGGACTACTTGGAAAAGATAACCCACAGGTGAGTTTTGATGGTTTCAGGCGTAAAACTGTGCTATTATTCGTTACCAATGATTTCTTTCGATTTGGAAGATTCTCACAGTTGTTTGGTTAAAAGACAACCTGACAGCACCTCATAAATGGATGAATTTTCCAGCCCACTGGCGTTATGGTTCAACTGTGATTCTTGTCCATTAATTTCTGTTTCCAAAGGCATCATCAAAGTGCGAATTTATCCATACTGAAACACATGTCAAGGTATTACATTGATCGAATTGAAACAGTTTCTGGTATCCTTCTTGATTGATGTCCTTGCACTTATACCTGTTGTTTTGGCAAGGATGATGGAGCCGTGAAACATAAATTGCAATGATCCCGCAAAATGTACGCCTCATTTCACCGGCACTTACAAAAATGCTGGAAAATCCAACTCGCTACAAAAAGGCAGGCACACCACATGCAACCTAAATCTGATGGAATATCTTGGTAACACAGAATTATGGCAAAGTCCGAGAAATATTGATAGATGCATTGCAAGACCAAAGTGTTTCCGCTCGGGGGAGCAGATTTGCCCTGAAACAGACATTGGGACGTTGTTTTTTTCCTAAGATCGCTTCAGATCCTTTGAGACCAGAGTAGGCAATTGCAGGTCACCATGAGGATAACATGGCCCACATGGTGAAGTACAAGCAGACGCGTAGACGAAAAACGGTCACTTCTATCTAGACTAGACGCTCTGTATACATAGCCTTCGTGAGGATGGAGAATGCAGTAGGGGTTAAAAGCTGAACTCCAGCCCAATGGCATGCGTGCCTGCAATTATGGTTGATCTAAAAATCCGTGCCCTGGAAATGACACTGGACAAGATCATGTGGCCAACCCGTGGCACATTATGGCTGACAGAATAGGTTGGATGGTTCTGATCAAAATAAGCTCGACTCATTCAAAGACGAATGTCTTTACTTCTAGTTCTTTTGGCGTGCTTGCTCGAATTGCTAACTGAAAAGCCACAGAGTCATCCATGGTCTTTTGAGCTGCCTTAAGAAACGGTTGACGCAACTATTTACTCGAAGATTTCACAAGCCCTGTTCAAGCCCTTACGGCGCGCCTACTGGCCCAGTCGAGAGATTTTTACTTGCGTGTTTTTCAACTCACGGACTGACCAGCTGACACCTCCCCCAGTATTGATCACTCTACGTCATATATTAATCTACAAGGTATACTTTCCCGCTACAGCCACAGGGTACTGTGTACACTAAAAATACTTAAGAGTCCGAAGTGTACTAGAAACGGCTATCTAGCCCCGTTTGGAATCAAAACTGTTTTATTGATCAAGACAGAGAGCTTCTTCTGACACACAGTGTACGAATCCACACTTTTTACGAATTTATCACAGTCCCCTGTTTTATTTTTCATTTTTCTCCTAAACGACCTATGACACGTGAGACTTGGTATTGAGAGTTGCATATGTCACTACTTTTGTCAGCATGTTTCACTAATGGGTTGCAGTGCTCGTTAGTTGTACTTGTACGTTTGATTAGTGCATACTGAAAATTTTTCAAGAAGGAATATTTGTCCACTGACATCCTCTCAAGTGACACCAATTCAGTCATCATCAGGTTATACATATTTCTTTCTTCCTTCAGTTAACCTTTCAGTCTCAACCTTCTCCTTGGACCAATGAATATTTCCATACGCTTAACCGCTCTCACTCAATATTCCTTTTGACTTCCTTGTCACAGGCAATTCTGAATAGCTTGTGGCTAATCAACCGAACACAATTCAACATTGGTGGAACTCAGAGACACCGCAACTTGGTCTGGGGTCAATTTCAATTAATTACAGATGATGCAGGCGCTAAAGCAATTAAGTTCACTCCTCTGTTTGAGTCGGCTGAAGTTCGATATTGTCGAGGCTATGGCGGCAGTAAGGGTGCGGATGTAACCTGTCGATCTTCCAGCTCCGCGCAGACTTTAAGCTGTACAGGAGCGGCAAAGCGTCAACCACTTCCATTCAACTGCGTAGAGCTCTTTGAATTGTATGCGAATCTTCGACCACCAGAGGCCCGCGGCGTCTCAGAACCGTTTTACTTGTGCCCAGATCCAGGTTGGGAGCAGAACCGCACTTGGTTTAAGACCAACGCAGCTGGATCCCAACTTCTTTCAAGAATACCACGCTTGTTGGGTTTGAAGCCCACACGTGAGCCAATACAGCCCATTTTGTTGTCCATGATGTCGTCTGAACAGTCTCACAATGACCCGTATGATCTGAATAGAGAGGGGGTCTTTGAAACCAGAGACAAACTTCATCCCATCTCCATTGTCAGATCATCTCCCTCGCTTCAAGATAAACTTTCACTTGAACGGCAACAACATCCATCATCACTAAGTGGAAACTTCCCTCCACTGTGTCCTCCAAACTTGTCTCCGAATATTTTCCACCTATTTCCGTTCATGTTTCCTCCCACATCAGACACCCCATCAATACCCACAATAGGTAGCACTCAGCACCCTTACTTTCTACCTCCCAACATCTATTCAGCTCTTTCTAATTTGACACCTCAATCTGATTTTGACTACCCATTCCACAACAAAAGCAGCAAATCAGATACCTCGTTAGAACAACAAGAGGCTGATGATCTGAGTAGATCAGGACTATCGAGCCTACGCAACATGGGAAAGTCTACCGAATCCCCAGAACAACAACCCAACTCGTCGCGTTCGCAGCCTGAAGCGGACATAGCTACCTCTAGCTCTGACTGCACCCCATCGCCAACAAATGCAGAGAACTTGTCACTTTCAAACGCATCACCAGTGTTACTTTGTCCGGCCTTGGGAAGGGCCCATAGTCCTCAGCAAGAATCAGCGCATCAGATGACGAAGATGCAAAAGACTTCCAGTACACTCTGTACTGTGGAGTCTTACAGTTCGCCTAATTCTAACGAGTCTCACACCTCCTCCAGGCCACATTCAGCGGCAAGTCCTTCAAATCGATCAGCCTCTTCTTGTCCTGCAGGGCACCAGGCAGTCACTTCGGATTACGTCCGTTCAACCTCCTCAAGTCCCCACTCAGTTGGTCACAATATGCCGACAGACACAAGTTCAAATTGGCCCCAAGATGTCCTGAACCTAGCACGCTGTAAACAAGAAGGTTCTAGTTGTGCCTAGAATCTGAAAACGTAGTTGGTCACAATATACCGACAGACACAAGTTCGAATTGGCCCCAAGATGTCCTGAGCCTGGCACGCTGTAAACAAGAGGGTTCTAGTTGTGCCTAGAATCTGAAAACGGAGATCATTTCAAACTACTTCCATTTCTGTTTTAAACTTCAAATACCCGAGCACAATCAGACGATCATTGATGCTGACCCCTGACCGCACTACTGTACAGTTATGCAATCTGATAGGCATTTAAAGGAGTCTCCCGCACCAAGACCCAACACATATAGACCCACTACTCTTATACTAATCTGAGTAGATTCCATACATACGAGTAACGAATTCGTTCTGTCTTCGTCCTACCTGCAGAGAAGATACACGAACATTCACACATATACCCATGTAAGCACATATGCGCACCATAGACGCATACACATACACACACGATGACCGATGTTCCCCGTTCCTTTTTTGTCATTTTTCGCTCATGTGGCCCATACTTCAAAGGTGTTAATGACCCCTACCAAATTCGTGTGTGCAGTGAAACTTGGGGCACTACAGAGCTATTAATTTGAGTAAAGTTGCCAAAGTTTCCTCAAATTTTCTTCGGTTATAAAAGGACTACGCCTAAGGGCGAAAATAATCACTGTACCATTGTTACACCCTCGCGGAGACCATCGTCTTATGAACTTCTAGACAGATTCGACATCATGACTCTTCAGTTAGGAGGTGAACACCATACCGTACGGTCACTAGTGGCTGATAGGAATTGTGAGTATATTGCGCAGTAGTCAGGCTTTCCACTTGCCCAATCCAGATAAAATGAGCAAGGAATAACTTAATTTACTGTCTCTCAATCTAATGACCCTGTTACCACTGCGACTGCACTAAAACTGTATTAGTTCAGGCTCTTCATAACATGGCCAACTTCATAATGTGACCGAATTTAATTGTGCTTTTGAGATCGCAGTAAGCAGGGAGCCAGGCAGTTCGAAACCTGGCATTTTTATTGGTTCCAGCGTGCAACATATTGTAGAATTTTTGTTGATTTTATCCTGAGGAGGTCCGATGAAGATGACTTCGTTCTCTCCAAGAGGTTTTGAACTAATTGATGTAATCGGAAATAGCTGTAATTTGTTGGTACACTGTGTATACTCAGCCGGCTATGCCGCTTCAGCCATTCCACAGTCTGCAGTTCCTTTCATTGTAATCAAACCGTAATATAGCGCCAAAACCAGACAGAACATTTTCAAGTCACTGCATGGTGTTGTACGTTGAATTGACCAATGGCGCACACAATTCTTAAAAACCTGTGTCCCGAATCAGAGAAGGGATATTTCTGCTATTCTGCTTGATAAGGCCTTACATAAAGAACGTCCTCCATGCTTGAATCAAGACATGAATTACTACCTGGAAGGAAAGAAAGAGCATCATTCACTGAGTGCTGTGCCGTCATGTATAGGCTTAAAGAAGAAAACTCCCGAGCAGTCCTTCTCAGTTTCGCACTTTTTAAAGCCCATTAGGAGGACAGAATGCCCTAATTGACATCAGTCTTGTTTTGTGTTTGGAAACCGAATTTGGCCAACATGTAAATTAAGATAGTGTCGACGGACGAAGAGCAATGATTAGAAATTCTGCGGAATCTCTTCGGGTTCTTTTTTGTAATAATTAAGGTTGTCCTAGCTGCAGAACTTTGACCGGAAAATTCACTCGAGTTAACAGTATTACTTTCAAAGATTTGTGCGAACGCCGGTTCATATCTCCAGTTAAGATTTTACGTACAGCCGCTCAGTGTTCATCTAATGGAGAAAAACGCATAAAATCTGAGTTCACATCATCTAATGAGAAAAACGCATAAAATCTGAGTTCACAGGCGAATTTAAATAATTCTAAATAGACAGAAGACTGAAAATTTGTAAGCATTGTTGTTTCCATCGCCTTGTCCAAACTGGTCCGGGGTTCACAATATTTTAAGTTGCTGAATGGCCGAAAGGTAAAGCGCAACTGATGTGGGTACCTTATCGAATAAACATTTTTCTTCGCCGTGATTGACTTATACGGCATACACTAGGTGAAAGTCACAAACATAATGAAAGATTGGTGTCTGAAACCAACCGTCCTTAGTGTTCTGCAAAATGAAACCTTGGAAACTACAGGAGCTTGTATATCATAAATATTAGTGATCGCAAATTGAGTTCTTTTCTAAATCGATCCAAACTTTGAGTTCGGATTTTCTGGAGGAGTGGCAAGATAAACCAAATGAAGTGTGAAATTGTTAAAGGAAGCATACTGATAAATATTCCATCGTTTTAAACTAGCTGTGGGCAGGTTCGCGCGCGCTGTGCGTCCAGTAAGCGTCTGTAAGCAAGGGAAGCAACAAAGAATGCCGACAACGAGAAAAATCCACACCAAGCGTTGGCTGAAATAACTTTACGCTCAAAAATTGTGAGAAAAATCATGCTTTTATATCTTGTGCGGATCGAGTCCCATGCTGACATTCTGCCATCCCTGTGGTGCATTTATTAAGTCACTAGTGCCCAAGGAAAGGAAGAAGTTAGTACGTGACCATCCGGGTGAGTAAGACAAAGGTTGTGATCCCCGCTGTGAAGAGAGAGCTCTTCTAGTGTAATGAAAGAACTGGGATTCTGAGGTGGCCCACGTATGTCAAGTGGACGTACCTGCGTTTTTATTCCTGTGCTGTAATAATATAATATAGTAATAATATTTTGAATCCACATCTTTTATTGGCGACAGTCAGAGGGATAGGAAGCTATATTGGTATGCCCAATACACACCAGACAAGTGCGTAAATCCAAAAAGTAAATCTTAGGCAAGAGAACATTTTACCCACATAATCAGTGGTACCATAAACAAGAACAACATGATGCTATACCTGAGGTCCTTGTGCAAGCTGTTAAATCAACTGTCAAAATTAGATCACATTCAAAACGTTGTGAGTCACGATGTGCATCTCGTGTTTCAGCTTTCTCGTCAAAAAGTCCATGAAAACAATTTGAATTGGTCATTTGCTCGGTTCGAGTAGTAATTTTGAGCAATCTTTTAACTACTAATTGTTCATGAAAGTAATACAGATACAAAAATGAATTCTGGAATAAGATGCCTCCTGGTTTTGTCTGAATGCCCAAATTATGAACAAGCCCTCACTAGTTACTGGTATGTCCGAATACCTCACAGAAGGAAGTCGGCTTTTAAGAAAAGCGTAAGTTGGGACGTCAGTGAATTTAAGTTTGCAGTCAGCATGGCCAGACGCCAACACTGTTCTGAGCGTTCTCGAAGCTTACTGCGTAGCCAAAGTGTGCACTCAGCTTCAGACGCAGATACACTCAGCACCACCAACAAAGCCAATCAGACTCAAACGGGAAGCGTGTTGCGCCATTTAAAGTTTGTAAAGCACATCCACCCTTTGAATGCCCTCTCATTTGGACATGAGTTTGGTTTTAACGGGAGACTCACTCATCTGAATCCAGCCAAATCTTTCGTTTACTACGGGTTTCTTCAACGAAATGCGTCACACCAAGCTGTCTAACGTTCTAATTGATACAACATTCGGAATATCGCAATAAATTGCATAAGGTTGCTGAAATTTTTTTGCCAATCTACAACCGGTTTAGGGCGCATCAGGTAGGTGCAGCCGCCGCGGTTCCGTCAACCTTATACTCTACCTGAACTCCACTTACACGAAATTCGACGATCACACCCATTTTCAAATCACTTGGGCCTTCACAGAAGACTTGCTTGAATCCCAGCTGAATCTCTGCCTCATGATGTCCTTCAACCAAATGTGTTGCACCAAGCAGACCCATTTTTTAGTTAGTACAGCATTCAAAATATCGTAGTCCCTTCAGGTGAACAGCATCACAAACAAGAGGCCCAGCTGGGATTGAGGTGAGTCTCCCGTGGAACTCGAATTAGCATTTGGAAGAGTATTCTTCGGGTATATCCACATTTCTTTCGTTTACTTTTAAGGTTGCTTAAGAAGAGGTCTTCATAAATGTGCCACCGGTAAGCTCCTCATCCGAGAAACTCTAGGAATGATGATGATGATGTTGATGATGATTACGATGTTGGTGGTGTTGGTGATGATGGCGATGATGGCGATATAATCACCAGACACTTAAGAAATTAATTTAAAACACACCCCATACCTATCAACGAATCCCGTTGACTTCAGAGGCAGAACTACAAACTTTTAACTTGAATAGGAGCTTAGGGACCTTCAGACATAATTTTGTTAGCAGTAATCAACATTTATCTTTCTTCAGTCCACCGGTTTGGAAATCTAGATTCGTCGTCCTTGTTTAACGTGAGAATTTGTTAAAATCTGTACAGGGTCCCATACTTCTGCCGACCGACCGTGCCAATTCAATGCTACCATGTGGCAATGTGTGCGTTAACTATTCAACCGCCTCCCAATAGGGTTGACATTTCTGAGGGTGCCAAAGATTGACAGCATTGCTACTGAGCAAAACTAAGTAGTTGAAAAGGAAAATGAGTGTCCTTGGCGAACGGCCATTTGTCTAAACCAGGTTAATCCTGTGCCCATCAAGCTTCGGTGGTAGCATTACCGAGAATTCCCCTGCACCTAATGAATTTTTTGAACCCACCAACTGGGCGACGAAATGAAATCAGGTTGCATGTAAATGTTCTAATAGGTGAATTGTGCATCGCATTAAAAAAATATGGGCATTCTATATTTCGAGTTCAAGTAAAAGTACGATTATGTTCAAAGTAGGATGAGGCCAGCATTTTTATTGGTTGAAATGTGTACCAGAATTTGTCATTTTATGCAGCTGCTATGACCGGTATCAGTTCTCATTCTCCAAGGACTTCCGGAAAACATCTTTCTTCAACAGTTTTTCTGCACTACTCGATGCTTTCGACATTTCCTAAGTTCATATATGGGTTTGGGTTGACATCAGATGTGAGAATGTTTGTTGGTACTAAGTCTTCTTTTCAAAATGCTGAACGTCAGTCTGTCACAAGGTCCTCTGCAAAAATACCTTTTCCATAGCACACCCAAGTAAATGTGCAAATCAGCCACAGCGATTAAACTGTTAGCCCTCCCAAAAAACGCTACTTCCCAGGCCGTTACTTTTGTTCTTCCCGGTTGGAATCTCACGGGACATCGTATTTGATTTCATTCAAACTACAAGCAACCTGCAAATTGTCGAGATGAGAGGACAATCGCTTCTATAATGAAATGTACACACAAAGTCGGGATATTGCCAAAAATATTTTCTTTCCACTGTAAGGAGAGAGAGATCTGGTCCTATCTTATCCGCAGCTTGTTTATGCTCTTCCTATATTCCAACCCTCCCTTTTAAAATTCCACGTCATGTTTCACGAATTCAATATATAAAAAGGCTATTAATAAGCATACTGGTTCTACTGAAGGCGTTATTCAAGTCCGTCTAAAATCCACTCTTTGTCCATTTGACTGCACATAAACTTCACCAGAAATTCTACCATCTCAAAACCATCGCAATACACTTGAAAGAAGACGAAACTATCACGGCAAGGAGTTACAGAGAGCTACTGTGTGTTATTGGATAAAATGGACAGGGCTTTGCAAGGAAGTTGAATTCACCGGTAAAAAAAACTCGGAATGCGAAAAGCTAGACTTATTTAAAATTTACTTTTAAATCCAATTTTAGTATATATCCTTTGGGAGAGCAAGCTTTGACGAATCCCCTTCACTTCAGATTGGCTTAGTTGGATTTGTTTTCGTACACTTCATCATCAATTTGAAGGTCTACTGATTTCACACAGCAAAATATCGGCCACTAATTTGTGCATCTTGAACTCTATGAAACATTCACATTTCCAATCCAATCCGTGATTTTACAGGATGCAAAATAGTATCGGCAAATATACTAAAATAGGATTTCTGTTATCGTTCGCCGGATGTACATCTAACTGGGTTCACCAAAATGTCATAAAACTTCTTACGCACAGACGAATTTTTTGACATTAACGCACATTAACGCCCCGGATTTCTTCTGATTGAAAAAACGTCAATTCGGTTGGCCCCTAAAGCACATTAGGTCAATATTCTTGGAGTCTGGTCAAGTTATTGGCATATCCTATTTCTTCGTTTGTTTAAACCAAAACTGTAGTTTCTATGATGGTCCTTTTTCACTCAAGTCTCACGCTTTTTGACGAAAATAATGGAGAACTAATTGTAGGTTTTTGTTCCACAATTTCCCAGAATGCCCGTTCAAATAATACTTCCCGTGTACACTGCCCCCGTGAGATGAAATCTACTATATGAGCTGTGATCTTGGTACACATTGGATACGAACAGATAGAGTAGCAACTCAGCAGCTGAGTATCTCACCGCAGCTAGAACAACTGAGGTCGTTAGTTTTTACACCTTCCATAACTGTATCCACTAAGCGACCGCCTGAACATCTGGACAGTTGAACGCCGGTCCGCCATAACGAGCTTCACAGTGAGCGAATTTTTAAACTCTTTTGATTGTCCCAGGAATACTCAGCCTGAAGTGAACAAACTGATTCCGTTTATAGGTAAGTTACAGTTAAACTGAGCATAGATTTTATATGTAACCGCCCGGTTCATTGTGAATCCTTCTAGAATCCGTAGTTTGCATATCCGTTGAGCTTGATCCAATATGAATGCGGTCACCCAGCCTGTTATAGTAATATTTTTTCAAGAGTCTCACCACACTACTTTCCTGGTCAGAGTAACTTATGTTCTGGAACATTCCTGTCCCATCAGGGTGGCATACAGACACCAAGGTACGGATCAGCTTGGTCAATCGTAGCTTAGTTGACTGGTGGGCGTTCAGTATGATAGTTCGCTTTTGGATTCATCCAGTAATGAGCTCAGCTTCCGGCCCAAGCTGCTCACTTTTTCACAATGGTGAACCCCACCTTGTTGTAGGCAATGGCAACTATCGAATCTAAAAAGGGGTTTCTCCAAATCAGACAAATTGCAAATAACCTATATCAATTCGTCTTCCTTGTAAGCCATAAACCAGTGACACGGCCATCTGAAAGCGGCTCTTCGATTTTTCTAAGACAAAAACTCGCAAAACTAGTAAATAACTCTGATGTTAACGATAGGTTCCGGCTGAATCTCCGGTTTGAGATATTATCCAACTAAATGTACTGTATTATTATATATTGCACTATATTTCCCTTTAAGGAAAGCACACATCAGATGGTTGCTGACATCCTTTTGATAATCTACCACCGATTTAACTTCTCGAGGCCCATCCAGTGTGCACAGTCTGCGAGTTTCCGTCAGTTAAGTTTGTTGTGTGCAACTTGGTGTATTTCGCCTACTGGGTCCAATAGAACGTCAACTAAAACGTCAGACTGATAGCAAATTGGGCCTCCACCTATTTTATGTACGCCAAGAAGGGCGAAATCGATCACGAACTGTCGAAGGTGGTGCGTTCCGCAACTAAATCTGGTGCTTTCGTCCCTTTTTGTTTATTTGACCCTCAAGGCAATCCAAACATAACTTTCCTAGGATATATCCTGGTGTAACTTTAAGGAAGTGGAAACTAGCTTAAAAGGGAATCAAGACCTACAAACAGCCTTACTCCCAAGAAGTACTTCCATTTGCGCTTCCTGATGTAGTAATCCTCTTTTTTAAGGAAAGTTTCCACTTAGCAAAAGAAGAGGAGGCTTTGTATATTTCCGATTTTGCACATTGTTGGAATACCTTGGAAGGAACTTAACGATCCACTTTCATCCTGTGTCAACGAAATCTTCCAGAAGTACAGTGAGAAGCTCTTTGCATCCACAATATACCGATATGTGAGATGAAAACCATTTGTGTAGCTGACGGTTTTATCTACCAACCCGATCTCATTTCTTTCTTTAGCAAAAGCTGAATGAAACTATCCTCACTCACCGAAACACATCAAGACACGACAGGTGGTGATCACCTTGTGACTGACTGCTTTTCTCACCTATAAAATAATTGTAGGATGTTTTGCTAACGTTCTGTTCACAAAACTGATGGTCTTTTGACAAAAGGAACCAAGACTGTGCCCTAAAAGAGCGAAAGTGGGCAGTCGAAAGAATGTTGGGCATTCATTGGGTGGAGACCTATATACAAGTCAAATCGTACACGGGTCGGTAAAATAGAAGTAAACCTAACGGCTGCCGAAAAAGATTTTCACGCCCTTGTTAGAATATCGTCTTACGCACTACATCATCCTCAGGACCAGTATGAGTGTCTGTTATTGGCATTTTTAGGAGTAAGTACTGCACCACCGTGAGTCCTAACATTCTGAGTTCCGCCCATCTGATCATGACTCTCTGTCCGGTACAGCAGCAAGTAAAACAGGAAAGGATTTCTACAGTTATTCAGAAAGTGAGACGTGCATGAAGACGTTTCCGCGGCGGCAATGCCCTAATTCATGTTTACTTTCGGTATATACAAGCTATGGGTACTTATTCATAAGTTTGTTACACAGTTATTCAGAAAGTAGTATGATGTGAGACGTGCATGAAGACGTTTCCGCAGCGGCAATGCCCTAATTCACGTTTACTTTCGGTATATACGAGCTATGGGTACTTATTCATAAGTTTGTTATGCCTCATGGGATTTGTAAATCAATGCACACTTGTTTGGGCGAACGGTGTTGCAACCGATCACCTGTGACACTGAAATGTTCTAGCGCAGCCCCAACTCACATGGCTAAAACCAAAACCTGAGTATCGGACTAGATTCGCTCCCCTTAAATCTTATGTTCCACAAACAAAGGCCCTGATTGCGGAATGGGATTGTTTCTACCGTATCACAGTTCTCAAATGATGTTGAATTCATTTAACTGGATATAGTTGACCAACAGTCAGTAGTAATTATACCGAGGTTAACTTTTCCGTAAATTAATTTAATAGATACTATCCTTCGTCGCAAGATTTTGTTCAGTCGAGTTCTTGTGATAATGAATATAAATCAGACGGTTTGTACAAACAGCCGTTTACGCTGTCCGATGTAGCTGATAAAAATGGTAACCCAAAATACTAATAAAATCATATCGAGGCGACGAACAAAAACCATTTGCCATAAAGTGATCAGCGGAATCCAACATGGTCAAACAATGGACATGATACGTTCATTGGTAATGTGAGCAAATTCAGAAATTCGAATGGAAATTTCGTCCTGTAAGTGGAGCCACTATATACTGAAAGGCCGAGAAGCACTATGAAGTTCTGTACAGAACTCCAGGGAGTTTCGAACCCGCGGCCTCCCAGCCAGCAGTTCGAACGCAACCGTCGTCGATGCTCACTGATGACGAATTCCAACGAGGATGAAACAGCTGCACAGTGCTTCCCGGCTTTTCAGCATAGACTGGCTTCACTCGCAGAACGAGATCTTCATTCTATGCATTATGTTTTCCTATTGCACTATTTGTCCCGTTCAGATGTCAGTTGGTGCATTGTAAAAATCAGTGTTTACTGAACAGGATTCAGCTGGAGCACCGGTCGTGTTGTAAAAAATTGAATGTATGGACATATAGACCTTTTGTCTGTCACTTCCTTAACACAGCTAAGCTGATGCATCGGTCCATTCATGTTGGATTTCTTTTGGTATTCAACTGTTAAGTGTCAGTTTAATTCAGAGTGGTGCTTCCAAAGATAGACAACAGTATGATGAAAGGTCAAAGGGCTGTTTTGCTAACCCGATATGCTACAAACCGCTGCCCAAAAGCCAAAGTTTGTTAGCTGTCTCCTCCCAAACAGCTACCCGAGAAACGCTTGACCAAATGATGGAGAATTTGGACATCTTGGAAATCTCCTTCAGAAGGCTGTACAAAAATGGCTTGAAGTCAACATGTGTTGTTTTTTGTTCCAGCGTACAAGCTTGCTTGTAACGTCAGCAGGTGGCAGCATTGACACATTCGAATGCAGTGATTCGCGAAAGCCGAGTCACTATCACATCGAGCAGCAGCGAGGCGTGGGAGGGGTGAGCCATGGTGCAGAATGACTAGGTAGCAAGGAACTCCGAAGAAATGGTTAGTGGAGCGTAGCTACTTATGAGATCGTTCCATACAACAGATGTCTGGTTGTCCTACTCAGATTCTGAACATGCATCAAGTGTTTAACTCAGTGATCCGGAGAGCCTATACAGCAAGTCATTTTTCTGCCCAAATGACCAGATGTTTGTGGCTGAATGATCAGACAAACAAAAATCTCGGAACGGGTTGTCGCATCGGGAATGTCTCATCCCGTTGAAGTATTGATGCAAACTACATGCTCATAGTTTCACATAAATGACTTCACAAGGAGGTTGTACAGGAGCATTCGCTCCCCTATAACCCTAGTGAGTACGTTATATTCTGATCATTTTGGCCCACGGATACTTCTGTCCGAATAATAGCAAAGTTTTAAGCTTGAATTTCAAAAGTGGTGCAATTTTATTTCCATGATTTAAAGTCAGTAAATAGAAATTTTTACTAACGGGCTTGTGATCCATAGTCTAACAGCGGAAGATGGTCAACTATAGGTGACTCCGGTGAGAATACAAAGCATAGTTGTGGAGTGTGAAAAGCTAAGTAAATTTTTGCATTCATTATTCTGTCACTCTCTGTTTTTTTTATGATAACCAAAGGTGAGGTATTAAAGGAGTCAGGTTTAGGCAAGGTCTGGTAACAAATCTGGTAATTTATTCTACTTCACAAAATCAATTCTCAATGGTGAACTGACAAGAGCTTTTTTCTGCAGTCATAGGAGTGCTGCACTTGCGGACTTCAGAAAACATTTACTCTACCTCTGTTTTGCTTTCTTGAGGCATGAGTAGCTCACACCAGGCCCATAGCCATTATCGTCTTCCCCGGAAAGAGGCGTTCTAAATTATTCCGTCCAGTCACCATTGCAGCAGTTAAACCCATTCCCGCTGTGGTAAAAGCCCGGTAGTATTGACCGTGGTCGCGACGGTCAAAGTTATGTGGAGGTCCAACACATGCTTGTGTCGGTATGACCCATTAGGTGGCTTCCACTTGCAGGTTCATTTAAATGAATTACGTTGATTATCTCAAATGGGAGTGAAGCTCAAATCCAGTGCTTCCCCTGTTGGTGTGAACTCACCAGAGTACTGACGCCAGTACAGGAGGACGACTGTTCAAACGAGTATGAATACTGCAAATCCCGAGATCACACCCTGCTTCTGCCTCTCTTGTATTTCCATTGGGCATCTCAGAGGCTGGGGTTAGACGAGGAACTGTACAAAAACGTGCTGATTTTGCCCAGGTCGACACGACCAGATTTTAGCCGATTTTGGCAGACTTTATCAACTGGACCCAACCACAATCGGTGTCACTGATTGTGTGAGGTCGTCCTTTTTCAGACGAACACTTGTACGACACCTGAGTCTTTGGTATTGCCATGCACTATTTATTCAATCAGGACCAGGTCACGTGACCCAAAAGGCATAATTAAACTCGTAAGGTTAAGCAGGCCTATCCTAATGACCTACAGGTAGGAAAATCTGCTGTTGATAGTTGTGACCGCATCTCAACCAGAGAGCTATTGTCACAGCAACACGC